GGCAAATAAATCGCTTGAAATGTTATAAAATGTAGTCTTCTCCGCTACTCTAATACTTGAATGTATCGTCTACACCTACTCAAAGAAGCGTAGGGAACCCGTATAGAGGATGACAGTGCTTGTTTACTGCACAAGTGTAGACTAACGCCTACCAAACCGATGATAAACCTACAGCCCGTATTGTACCGATGTAGCTTCTACTAAAATTTCAGTTCAAATAAAATCCGTTTGGCCCTCGTGACTAATCGACACCAACAGTGCATGTACCGGAAACATTTAAGAGTGGCTGTATCTTCATTTAGCCCACACTGACATGAATTCAAGGCCAAAGCTGCTACACGTACCTCAGATATGAACATAGTATGTTATTTGTACAAGTTGTTAAACTTTTTATTTCCCGAACGTGTAAGTTATGTCAGACTTTCTGTTCCGTTCTTTAAAGATTTTCAAGTGTCAGGATCAAGCCTTATCGCCTTATCATTAATACAACCCTATACACACACATTACATCTCCAGCACACACGCAGGCATACACACATAGGGAGATATTAGCCAGGTGGCATAGGACTGGTAGTAAGCGCCTGATAAGGCAACTACTGCGAATTCCTCACAAATTGTAATGCTAATTGCATTAATTGTATATCTACTCACTTCAAAACGTCTTAGAGTGGCGTTTGTTAGCTAGGTAGGGCGCTATATCAAATGATGTATATTTTTATTATGATGAGGTCCATCACCGTCATCGAGTTGATCAGTAGTAGAAATACTTCATACATGTGACTGTTAGAGGTATAGCACATGGCCTTATACCACAAATAATTTCCCTATATGTTATTACCAAAGAAAAACCCTTTAAACAATGTTGTACACTTTGGCTCGAGACCTGATCTTTATGGGTTTTATTCAGCTATCCAAGACACATTTGCGGTGAGCTGAAAAATTATTCATGACTGGCATTTTTTAAAGATAATTTTAATTATGTCAACATAACCCCGTTGCACTATGATATGACCCAGAAAGCCATGCTCAGGGGCCCAACATTAATCGACTACGTTAATTAAAGGGAGAAGACCATGCTTCATATTGGTATCACATGCAGTTTCTACTCGTTTTAAAAACGACCCTAAAATTGAGAAATGCAATACGTTCATGTACAACGAACCGGAAGCTTTAACTTTGGTCTGAGGCCTGTATTTCAATCACTGTTTGTAATCACTCTTGTTAGAGTAGAGTGCAGTGGGCCTTACTATAGGAGAAAACCGGAGTACAACGGAGTAAACCCACGTGGTCGGGCAATTGACTCCATGCCTTTTTATGTTCAATAGGGGAGTAGTGAAAGGCGGGCGTGTTATTCACGGCACCACCCGACCATTCGTCGCTGCATTCCACAGCTAGCCTAAGCGTAGCAGAAACTGGTCAGATAACATACAAGAAATATAGGTAATCGATATTCTTCTTTACTTATAAAGAAAAAAAGATGTGTACAATGTGTTTAGAAAAAAACCCAGAATAAAAACAAATTGCGATAACTATTGGAAAACTTTAACGCAATTTGAAAATAAAATGCGTTGCAAAAGACCACCTTAGCAAGCAACCATCGAATAGAGGTACAATATCCACCAAGACTTGTGTCATACCGTGACAGGTTTTTCCAAAGTTTAGTAGCATAATCATTGTAAACGAGTAGTTATCGCTAATGTTCAAAACAAAATGTGCTTCTAGTCAAACAATGATCATGCCGTTTTTTAATTTCACACCGCCGTGAAAACGCCTCAGGGAGTTAAGTTTCTTTTTCTTTTCTTTTAAAGAGTAATTAAAGTTGATCAGGACGTGAAACATCCGGGCTCTGGTGTACGAATTGCACTATTTACACATGCTAAACTTATGCATTTGTTGGCGGGGTATTTTTTCTCTCTTATATATACGGTTGCGTTTTTAATGTACATGTACAAGACCTATTAGATTATGTTCACGCACTCAAACAAACCGTTTTTCGTTAGTGTGCATATTGCAAACAGAACAGCGACATGCTTCCCTTTTTGTAACGTCTTGTGTTTTACAACAGTTGTCGGAACAAAACGACTGTTTTGAGGTTATATCAGCAAATGTGGCTAACGAACTTCCATTAATAAACCTGTCAACACGACTTCTTATAATTGTTACGCCAAACCGGCCCAGAAACACAAGCACGCTTCCCACTCCACCAGCTATTGTTCAGATAGTTATAACTTAACTGAATCGCTTATATCTATTGTGTATAAGAGTTTTATTTAACAAACCTGGAGAGAAGCTCCAAGACTCCAAGAGTTAAAATTGAATTACATTTTGAGTAAAACTAAATGAAATGAATAAATATACAACATTTAATATAGCGCCCTATCTAGCTAACATAAGCCACTCTTAAGCGCTTTGCAATACATAGATATACAATTATATACAATCAATACAATTAGCATAAACATTAATCAATACAATATTGAGGAATTCGCAGTAGCTGCCTTATCAGGCGCTAACTACCAGTCCTATGTCACCTGGCTAATATCTCCCTGTGTGTGTATGCCTGCGTGTGTGCTGGAGATGTATTGTGTTCTAATTGTAGCGGGGCCTTGTTTCCAAAGGTATCGTTGATAAAGTGAAACCTCACTTGAATGATACAGCACATGAGTTATGTGGGCATGAGAAAAACACGTTCTCTGAATATTCCATGCGTACGACGACTTCGGGGATCGAACCCCGGCCGTCTGCTTGGAAGGTTGTAGTATTAACCACTTGACCAATCCGCCTTTGATTCCTCCGATAATAAAAATATACTGTAACTAAGATAATACGTATTCAGCTGTTCAGAAATGATCACTTAAGGCTGAGTAAGCAAACACTTACTATCAATACAAAGTTAGTAAACGCCTAGTTTAATTTAAGGTTGTATATTGCAGCATATGACAATTTTGTCCAATTACGACTCAATACTGATTCTTGGGGTAAAAAAAAAAAAAAAAAAAAATGTCTTAACTTTTCTTTCTGGAATATATGTAGAATACAACAAAAAGGGGAAAGGTGTATATGACCCATTCTAACGTAACAGGTTACAGCAGACATATATTGCGGACATTGAGTACTATAATTTTATCATTTATGGTAATAGCCGACTCACACCATAACGTTGCACTGATCACAGAAACTAGCCGTTGGCTGTTCGACGCAGAAATTGGATCCTACGGTAAACGTGGGAGGAGAGAAATGGGCTAGTGAAGGCTTTGTCGGAGGTAAACAGAATGTTTGGACCGCTGCAATTTGTGGCAGTATTTGTGCTGTGTATGAGGAAGTTTGATTTTTTTTTGTTCGAAAGGAGTGGAAGTCAAGATTCAAGCCGAACTTTGTTCAATTGAGAAAACGTGTTGTATAAGTCGGGGTCAATTGGACGTATTGTATCAAAGAAAGAAGAAACAACTGGGCTGCATTTTGAGAAAAAAATTGCGAATAGGGTGTAGGGGGTTGTTCAGTAGAAGGTAGTTTTGCAAAAGGCTACTTTCGGTATTTTGGAAAGAAGTACAGAAATTGGTTGTACAGTATTTTGGATATTCAAAGAGAGAAAAGGGTTATTTGTTCTTTTTGTAAGGGATAGTATATAGGCAGATTTATATGGGTAATACTTTGTTACAGAGATAAACTTCGTTTTAGGGAGTCCTTAATTTGAGTCATAAGGTTTGCATATTTAACTTGGATATAAAGAAGCTCCAGACTATTTCACATATACATGTACCTATATCTCCTCAATGTCGCGATCTACGTATATCTGACATGGTGTACAACAGGCCGATAACAGTTCGCCTACCCCCCCTGGTGATAAATAACACTGACATATTTATATCCTCATGGTGTTGCCATTAATTGAACAAAACCTCCACCAAGATATTACTGATAGGCAACCAAAAATATCACAGATAGAGACCAATCCGACAAACATCTGGCATTATACTCTCAAAGAGAAAGTCTTTATTCTCAACTCATCGAATAGACCGCATTCATCAGTGTCATTTCTGCTTAGCAGACCAATAGCCGAAATCCTAACAAAAACGCCATAAGCAGCGGAGCACGGGCAATGTCTGGTGCCTCCCGGACAACACAATGGAAGGGACCGGCTTCCAGCGAGACAATTCGTATTAGAGTGTGTATTGCTATAGCGGAGAGTGATTGTCCATTTATTATCAGTTAACTACAATGCTGGACAGGCGAGCGGAAACCCGACGCTAAGAAAAGTAACAACTAAATGGCCATTTCTATGACTAACTTAATATGGGTTAGTTAAGCCCTAACTACATTAGAAGTCAAATTTTCTTGTGCGTCGCACTGAAGTGTACAAATTGTGTTATGGACGCTTCTGCTTAAGCGCGAGATCTAATTTTCTATATATCGTTAATGTAATCTAATTTTCATCCTGCGTTGAATCTGTAGTTACAGAATAGTCCCTGAGAGGTTCCGATCTTTGCATGACGCCATTATGGCTATTTTGGCAAGAAATCTGCAAAAGAAACGTGTGAATTAAAATTTGATGTTTTTTGTACTTTGTGATAATTGATCTTGCACCTTGGTAATCTGTCATGACAAGCATACTTCTCGTTTGAGTCTTTAGATTTTTATTGACATTAAACACGCAATCATACTGCTCAATTGCACTATGAGCTTTGAAAACGTGATAATAGTTTGATATGGGGTCCTATCTCATAATGAGGGAATGGTGACGCAGAATCTATGGAATAACATAAGGGTAATACATGTACCAGGGCGATATCAAAGAAAAAATACGATACATACGGTGTCGTGTGTGTATTTAGAATGATGTGGTTGGACGATTATCGGGTACCTTACAAACAATAGGAGCGAAAACTGATTAACGTGAGAGACTGGTAGTGTGATACAGACGTGAACAAAAAAACAACAAAGGATGGCCAACTGTAAAGCATGCGTATGTTTGCATATGTCCATTGTAACTCCTATACAACATGCACAAGTTTTCCCGGGTCGCAAGGAAGAGATCCGGACAGGCACAACATTTGTGTCAAGGAAAGATTCTTCTTGATTCAGCATTTGTGTTTGCCGTTGGCTTTTGTGAGGGGATCACTACCTTTGTCTGCATTTTGCTTCGTTCATCTATCGCCCCTGGTGTTTTTATTTTCACTTTAACTTTGACCTTCTTAGTCATTGTGTGTTGCTATTTTCTATTACTGTTTATTTTTTTTTATTATTTTTTTCCTGAATTCCCTTATACACTGCTTGCTAATACTGTTTAATTGTTTTGTTTATTTTTCAGATATCGCTGGTGAATGCATTTATCCGGATTACTTGCAGAGCGGAGTGGTCAAAGGCGAATTACAACCATGGAAAACAAGAACTTGGTGGATTAATGTTCGAGACAAACCGAGATGGAAGGAGCGTGAAGAAATCTACGTAGACGGGTCTAACATGTGGTATCAACGTGAAACAGACTACATCCCATGCGAGAAAAAAACTCGCCGCGTTTCACAAGAAGCGCCCTCGTTCGGAAAGTGTGTGACTCGGACTTTACTATACAATCGGACTTGTTTGATACAAGAAGGTTACAATAAGTACAGAATCGTCCAATATACACCTGGGAGGTAGGTACAGTTCTCTTTTTCAGATTCATGTAGCAGTTCTAATTCCCATATAGACCATATTTTGCTCAACGATTTCGTGTACATGCGTATCTGATATACACCATTGGATACGCACGATGTTCTGAAGGAAACGCAATAGCAAATGTAATTCCTTATGGCAGCTGTACAATCTAATGAAATGGGACTGTTTACAACCGGAAATGTTTTCACGTGTACTGTTGTAAACATTACCAAGGAAAATTCACATGTATACATAAATTGTTAGTACAACGCCATAGTAGAGACAGGCATGCGCACTTTTTATGTTACACCCCATCCGGAAGTATACTTGCATTCTATTTAAGTATAGCAGTAGTGATTGGAATGTAACTACATGTAGACAGTAAGACTCGTTTGCCGCATGTCAAGATAAAAAAATAAACCCTACACAAACCGTTAAACGTCTATATTTTCCAATCAAAAACGTGTTAGGTTTTCCCCGTCTTACTTTTCAAACTCAATTGGGAACAAGTCAAATGGAAACATTGACAGAAAAGTGCGAATCATTTCTAATTTCTATGCGTCTTTTGTGGGGAATAATAATGTAAAACAAACAAACCTTTTCTCACAAACGTTAACTACAAATGCTTGGTAAAGCGGTTTATTTGAAGCTATTATGGACTAAAATATACCTCAGTCACACGATAACAAGAAAATGCCAAAATGTTAAACACAACTTAACCCAAAATCTGAACTCAAAATCGGCAACAATTGGCAGACTATAATTAAACAAATGATTTACCAAAGAACCCTTGAAAACACACACGAAAGAAATCTAGTGACCTTGAAGGATTAACGTCTTCTGCTTCATCGACGACACTCGCAATGTCTAATACAGGTAATGTCATGCCCTCAAATCTAGAAACAAGGTAGGGGAAGCAAAACAAAACAAGACAGGTGGATGCAATAAGAAAAACAAACATTTGTAACACGAAAACAAAACATGTCTCAATGATATAATGGGAGCCGCTCTATAAACTTTCATCATAGTTTTCGTTAGTCTTCGTTGTGTATCTATTTAGCATAAATGATGGTACATGTGTACAACGTAGATACGTGTACACCGATCTGGACTGTCGATTGTCGGCTCCAAGGTAGCTCAACTAGTCCGTGGTTTTCCTGTTTTTTTGTGTGTGTGAGTGTGTGTGTGTGTTTGTGTGTGTGTGTGGAAAGGGGTGGGGTGGGTTGGGGGGTGGGGGTTNTGTGGTCGCCTTCTAGCTTCGAGTTAGAAGGAATTTCCCTTTAGCTCGATCGGTATAGCGGTGGACTTGGAAACTCGGGGTCGAGGTTCGATCCCCGATGGTAGCAAACATATTTGATGCATGTGATCAACTCTTGTGTCAATTACTGTTACTTAAAATATTTATAGATAGTTGTTTTCTTCGCTTTTCTATCTAATATTTTAAGTCTCACTCTAACTTAATGCAGGTAGACTGTTACTCTGTAGTCCCTATGGTTAGCCATAACCTTGTAGGTGGAATACATTCTGACAATGTATGCATGGAATACCTGTTAAAAAACCAAAGTATCTATTCTTCGCCGTTCCTCTTTTACTGTTATTCTACATTCGTTTCGGAAAATTTCAAAGATGGATTTTAATTCTTTTGGTTCTAGGTACACGTACCATAAATATGTCCTTGATGGTCGTAATATCCAAAACGTGCAATAAATATCAACTTAGTATGGCATTTTATTATTATTTTTAATATCAGCTTCTTTACTTCATATTTGCTGTAATTTTATTTACCATCCCTCCTCCCACATAGTACTTATACAAATTGTCCAAAATTAACCAATTTTGCTGTAACTAAAACTTTTTCGTTTTCATTGTTGCTCATTCACTAATTTTATATATCAGAGCGTAACAAGAAGTGGCATTCATTGTGCTGATATTACGTTAATTACTACTCCCGGACTAAATGCAATTGCTTTAATGGCTGACTTAAGTGATTAATCAATGTAGCAGGGTAATTAGCAAACTGTAATTTCCGTTTTTAACTCATATATGATAAATGAGTGTTGACAGAGCTTCCCCGCGTTGTAACTTCACACGTCGTGAAATACTCAAACAGTAATTGGTTGTGTATTCGGATACCCCAAGTACGCGCTACGTAATACAGTCAGTTAGTGTATTCAGATATCCCTAACATTTCTGCTCGCTAAAATGACAGGTTTTGACGATCTCCGATCTTGCTCTGTGGTTAAAAATATCTTTTTAAATACCTAGTTATGGTTTCCCAAGAACTACAATGTAGCTGTTTAGGAATTGCACAACTAAATCATTTACGATATCTTTTTTCTAAGCTTTTGAACTGATAGAGTTCAACACACTAGTGACAACTGTCTAGATTCACGAATACATACCTAACACAGAGTTTAGTGGCATATAAGTGTCCTAAAGGCGTCTGATTTTGACAACCGGAAGTTTACATGTCAGACCAGTGAAGTTGGACGGGAATACCCCCTGACATTCGACCCTATTGGATCAATCCGCCATCACATATTAAAATCTACTAAAACTATACAATTTTTCTAAAGTTCAATATCTGTAGATTTCATTCAAGATAAAATATGTCAACAATTAACTATTTAAAAGAGGCACTGTGATAAATCGGAACAAAATTTAGGTAGGAATTGAATTGCAATCGTATGAAACACTTGCTGATGGGCTGATTTGATTGCGTTAGTCCTTTATGTATCACAAAATCAAGAACATGTTTTATGTTAGAAACTGACCGATTGGCTTATGATTTTGTTATACTCGTTGGAATAATTGCCTTGAATTACTTGAATATCACTCCGCATGCACATTACCTTACCCTGCTGAGATCCTTGCATGTTTTATTCCACCTTCACTGATATTCCTTCTACTTTTTATATATATACACAAATATATATATATATATATAAATAACGCAACAATTAGTATTGTATGTCGTCAAATGTATACAGTTGTTATTTCACACTGGTCGTGTTAATAAGCACAATTTAGAAAGTCGGTATTTGATTAACGCCCTCTAGAGGCAAGAAGAGTTCTGTGAACCTATGGTCTACTCTGGAGTCAGCTGTGGGTAAGGAGACGCTACTATATTACGTCTCGGTTATAAGATTTATAAATATTTAGACGGACATTTTACGTTTTCAGTAACTGACAAATAATGAAGGACGACTGATTTATGTGGGGTAAATAAATATCAGGACAAGTCCACGTACGGAATACGAAAAGGCAAACCATGTAAACATTTTAATTCGTGTAAACAAGTGAATATAGTTCGTGTTACGTATGTTTAAAGTGCGAGTATAGGTCACATGTTGAAATTTAAAGAAAGTCTGTTAAGTCAAGTCTTAAGACGTAAATATACGATAACGAAGCTGTCTTAAACTCCAAATAAAGAGACTTGCAATCCCCAGAAGTCTCGTTCAGCTATCAAACAGCGGAAAGCTAATCAGAGAGTTGATGCGAAAATTGCATCGCCCCGTAAAAAGCATGGCACGTTAGACACTGTTTACGGGGTTTGTTTCGAGGATAAGGATGTTAAACTCCATTTCTTAGTTAAGTCCCCTGGACATTACATTCAAATACAACGCTGCCTTCCTAAAATAAATTAGAAATTAAGAGCTACGAGTACTGGTGCTCTTTGAAGTTGTTGAAAATAAAACTAAATCAATAAAACAAGAAACCATATTGTTTCGTTTGAACCGAAAAAAAAGGCTTTTTCATTAGTGTGCGTAGGGTTAAGAAGTATCAGAAAGTGTTAAGCGTTTTCTAGATGGTTAGTTACTTAAGGGAAAAATAGTATGTATTCCGTAAGACACTAACACCTTAACGTTGACATGCGTACCATTGCAATGTCAGAATTATAAACCGAATGTTTATAAAATATAGCATAGCACCGATTACCGTATAAACGACATGCACCGACAAAAAATTGCCAAGCTTTATTCTCGATTGAAGTCGATATGTGCTTCGCAACGGAGTAGAAACATTAGCGTTGCTTAATCACATCATGCAGACGTCAATGAACATTTGTTTGGTAGCTTATTATTTTTATTGATGTTTTATTATTTAAAGGCGAATTCCAAGTACCATTTCTTTACGTTTCACTTTTTTCAAATCAGTGTTATCAGTTCCTAGATTTGTGTAAGATCGTAGTTTTAAACACTCATGAACGTCTTATTACTCAAAGCTATTTTTTGTTTTGTTGATAATACTTGTACATGCATTTAACTATAGAGATATGGCATCTTGCTATCTAAACACATTTACCACCATATTTGTACGTGAGGAGGGACACAAAACTTCTTCACCCAAATTTACGTGATTCCCAACGCCTTTTTTTTTAAATTACTGGATTTTGAAACAAAACACGCATCTACAATGCTGTTTTGTATTGTAGCATAATTGAATAACTCAAGTCCTTGTTTGACTTAAAGTGCATCCCCGTGTTGGGTAAAATGTGATATTAAATTAACAACAAGTCTGCTATATACATCTACAAATAAGGTCAGTTTCATCACGTCACCAGCCCTTTCATTCCAAGATAAGCGATACTAAATTTCTATTCAATTCATTTCAATTTCCCTTAAATTCAATATTTTTTTGTTCTAAATGACTTACTCTTATTACATATAGCATTTATTACTATATATGGATGCATAGGGCAGTCTACAATAAATAGTGTCACATAGGTATGCGGTGTTATCGATAGGTTTCACGCTAGTTGTCTACTGTCATAAATAACTTACACCAGTGTGATTTAGCGCCGCAAGGACACACGTGTTGAATTAAAAATAATAAAATAAAAAAATATAAAAATTGAGGTTTAGAACGTTTTTGCAATCTAAGTAAACCATATCAGATTATATTTTTTGTCTTTTTAACTTATGTCTTCATTCGGCACCATTCTGTACTATTTCGGCGTTCAGTAGGGACACGTTTATCTGTTAATGCAACGGTAGATTATCGGAACCATTCGCTGTATGTATACTGTAAATTGTTTGTGGTAGAGATCGAAGTCAAGATTCACCTCGTCAAGATTTAACCAGATATACGTCAACCTCTATATATCATATTCAGATTATAGTTATATTCAGGTCCATGCCAATGTAGGATTGATGTAAAGGATTAAATACAACATCATACCCACTACCACATATAGACGATAGACTGATAGAGCAATGCTGTACAGAGATGTGTATCGCGGGATGAATCAGAGCAAACATCGATCGCTTCTACATGCCAAGCTGGTTGTGATCATGGCTCCTCAATATAACCCTCTTAACCTAGCCTTCTAAAACAACACTCGAAGTAAATTGGATTTTTGTATTAGATTTTTGTTTCTGAATGAAAATGAAAAAAAAAACGGCCGAGCCTGTTGCGGGATAAGGACTGTCAACTACTTTTTAACGTATTGAATCCGTTGAATACACCAACTTGCGGCGGGTGTTGGTCGCAGTTGGAATCACTTCCCCTTGATATGTGAGTTAAAGCCTCGTTGTGTAAAGAAATCGAAACAGATTAAACGTTTAGATGTTTTATTTATTTATATACCAGTCATTAATGATTTCGATTGAACCCGTTAAACCATGAGTACGAGGTTAGAGGGTACTAATGTGTTTGATTGACATATAAATCTGTCTATACCTTTTGTACGTGTGACCATTGACAGATCATACAAAGCCATAGTACTGCTCTGAACTGAGTCGGATTATGGGATTTGTTTGTCTTTCCTTTGTAAGATAGCAATGACGTTATTAATATCTTGGTAATGTAATTAATTTTTCATGTAATATGTTTATTTCTGAAACATGGTGCAGTGCTGACACGTCAATGAGCATTTGTACATCAGGGAAAGCCAAATGACCCTATTAAAAGTTGTTCACCTCCCACAATGAACAATATTGAGAATCACAACTTGGAGAAGAATGTTGTTATTTTGTTTGTATTGTATTTCGTATTTATTTATTTTTGTATTTTTTAAGGTATTTTTTATTTTATCACTTATTCTACTCATTAAAAGCATAAAATGTTGATATAATATGAACACAAATAGGTTCTCAAAAAGTAAGAAAAAAATTAAAATGTTACTTTGTTTTTCTATGACATTGTTTTTATTTCGTACTTTGTTTTCTTAATTATTGGTTTTTGTATTTTGTTTCCGTATATATATATATATATATTTTGTGTGTTTATTTTTTTTATAATTTATTCCACTCATCACCAAAAAGCATAAAATGTATAGATTCTCAAAAAGAATAAGAATAAAAGTAAAAATGAAAACAAAAATATATGACATTGTTCAAAACAGATTGCATATCCATTATACCATCTATATAGATTTAATACAATCGTATACTGCACACTGCTTCAAATTTGTTTCCACTTTTGTATTGTTATATCTTAGTTCTTTCTTTAAAGTGGTGTCATCGGTCACACTCAACGAGACCACCACTAGCACCATCATCATCACAACTTAAAGCTAATGACATTGTTTTTGCTTTTGCAATACGATTTACAAAACATTTCGTAGATTTGTGGCTCTGAAACGTTCAGATAAACTTAATTGAAACCTCTGCCAAACAGTATATGCGTACAAAGAGTTCTAACAAAATTATGTTTAAATCTTATCCACCTTGTATACGGGTATATGACGTAAAAGCGATTTGAATAAGGGCTTAAGCTTCAAACGTGTCTGTCGTATTTCCTATTTGGGTTTATAAAGCTTACATTTACACTTATAATGGCAGCTTTATGAATCTAGTCGTTATGTGAATAAACTCCGGTGTATTTCAACATGTCGACAATGAAAGATAATAGCAATTTTACCTTGGGTATGTAACGTCGACTAAGAGAGCAAAATCTACTTGGATTCCATTGAAGTTGTTTGTCCTTTTATCTGATGTTTCGTACCGGAAATTAAATCTGGAGCGAACTATAGCTCGGATTACGAATAAAATTGGTCGACTCTTTCAATTACGGATCGTATGTGACATTTGAATGACAAAGACATCGGTAAAAGGTTGATTAAACCAATCTCAACCTTGATTAAAACAAAGCATGTGTATTGCTCAACATTTTTCTCTCTCTCGAAATCTCGATATTCAAGCAGAGTTTTAAATTGAAATATCAAAAAAACAAAATGTATATATGTTTGTGTGTATCGAAACGTGATTACTTTTTTATAATATTAATGCTTTGGTTTTTCTTAAGTAAAAAGAAACACTTCCCGTGTATTGCTTTTGAGTTCTGTATTTTCCCCATCAATCATGTGCTTCAGCCATATGTTACGAGCAATGTCGGCCTGATTTTGCTGTCATGCTCATAGTGATGCCATATTCTGACACTACGGTAACAATACGTTCAGCATGTCAATATACGGAAAAAATGTATATGATAATGTACTGCATAAAGGGAAGTTTTCGCTGCGGTTTAATGTTTGCTTTTTCTTCGCCCTCCTCAAAAAGGGCAATGTTTGCAAGACAGAGAGTATTGGTACACCATAAACACTTTATAGTAAGTACATGGGCATGGGCGTAAATATATTTAACCAGTGAAGGGCGAATATTAGACGGGACGAACATATCTCAAAGTCTCCCCTTGTCTTGCGTTAGACATATGTGATGTCAGAGTAAAATAAATAGGAGATACAAAAGTAATTATTTAAACATTTTGTTGAACTTAACATATCTAAATGTGAATATAGCGAAATTAAATCCTTCGCGAATATTACCAATTATACAATAGCAATTCAGACTACTTATAATTATTTGTACAGAAACTACAGCACTCATGTAAATTCCTTTAGGAATTTATGCAAAGAATAAAGTCTTCATTTGACCTCTCTGATAACAACTGTAAACTGTATGTACGTTACCAGCGAACCAGTTGCTACACACTAGAAGATATATTAACAAACTCGTATCATTTACACCGTTAGTACGATGGACATGCGTTGGTGATATGTTTTTATTTTTATTTAAGCAATGGTTTGTCTAGGCGTACACACTAACACTAATGAACTGTAAAAATAATAATCTGTTGTTTAGTGTGATACATATATGGCTCTGTGTATGTCTCGCTTTTGTAAAATCCGCAACATAACCAGATCGTTTTGTTTGCACAAACCGATGAACGTATTGTTTGCAATTAAGGCGATGCCGAATATTGTATGTTTGCGTAGCTGGTCACGCTTTCCCGTCGCAACGCAAATATTAATAATCCTCCAATTTAACATCATCTGTCATCATGGATTTGACATTTGAAGATATAAGATATAACTCTCCCGTGAATCCAATCACGTTAATAAGATTTATAAAATCTGAAAATTTCGTAGTAAAGTATCATGCATCCTACCCCATTTTAATTGCTCACATTGATGATATCAATCAACATCAACCTACTTTGTAACATTGTAGGATGCAATGTATTGTACAAATCCGACATACACAAACATAGCAACAGTTTTGTGAGATTGAAGCAATTTTTGATGTTTACGTTATTCGTATAGATGTAACCTGACCAATCGCAGCCATTTCCAGTTTTCGATATAACACCATGATGTAACAACATATGCTATATAATGATTGATTCAAATGAAGCTCATATGATTGACGTCTGTAGTACCGAACAATACATATTACATTACAGATTGCCTTTTCTGATAGCGGTGTCAATATCATAAACAAACCATCTATACAAATGCATTAGCTAGAAGTCATATTTTATACAGAATAGGTATAAGAGCGTTTCTATCCGATTAGAGTCAATGCAGTTATATTCATATTATAAAGTTGTAAGCAATTTTGATTGCCTGCATTGGCTGTACTGCTGATTCTAACACAATAACATGTTGCCTTTTTTTGTACCTACAAAGGTCTCCAGTGTATATTTGCATGATGTACATCAAGAGAAGCAATACTGTCATTCAGACAATTCAAGGTAAGTGAAAAATACTATGTATACAATATTAATATCGCCTACGTGTTACAATGTATTAAATATACTAAACTGTTTCAGCTGACATACATATGCAATATAAATGACATCTGTACAACGGCATGATGAATAATTTTATTAAACAGTCTTAGGGAGAAAACTATTACAGAACATTAAGTTAGCTTAATTTTGTTTGTGCTTGTTATTTAACCAAAACAACCCTTTGTAATGCTATTTGATGCTATAGGGTTGCTCTTATACCAAAAAAACACCAACATAATTAAATGACACTATTTCGTCTTTGCGTATTACAGAGTTATCTTCTCTTGTTAGCAGGTATCGATTGTTACGTCATTGATTTGTGTGAGAAAATTACGTCGTTTTCTCAACAATTGATGACGTTATTCTTACAAATACATGATGTAACAATCAATACCTGCTCACAAGAGAAGATAACTCTGCAATACGCAAAGACGGAATTGGAGGACAACTCCATCGAAGTCCGCAATGTTCCAGTAGATAAAGAAATCTCAAGAAACGTTTGATATCCGCTGGGTTTTTACAGAGGAAAAACGTGTAGCAATTCTTCACAATCAAGATGATCTCGGTTTTCTGAAAACATTGGTCTAGGAAGTTTTGATTGCGAAGATCGCCAAAATCCAATCGACAGGGAATATATTTTTAGACATTTATTTGGAAAAAAAGAGGGAAAGATTTCTTCTTTTACTAAAACAAGTTAAATTTGTGAACCAATGGCATCTGTGTTGTTACCTCGCTATCTCCGTGTTCCAAGTTTCTTCTCTTAGTTTGTTTCTGTGTTCCTATCCGGTAGGTTTTTCATTTATTTCCTCATGTGATGATGCATTGGGATGCGATTCCACACTTTTATATTTCCTAAATACATTTTCTGTATGAATATTAGTATTATTCGTGACGGCACGTGCATATCTAATGAAAATCTCTGTATAGATTGAGATGCTTACTACAGTAAGACTTGAATTGGTTTGACGTTACCTAAAAAAAGGTTTAATTATTATTTTACTCATTCTCATGATATCATACTCAGTTAAATTACCATGTTACCAGCATATAAATGTAAGTTGAACGACTTTAATGTAATAGCAGTTAAAAAACATGCGATATCGGCATTAGATTTGCATTATACAAATCGTGTCTTGCCATTATTAAACAAAACTATCAATGAACTATTTCGGCATCGGATTCTCCAAATGCAAACTGCGATTTTAAATTCTCATTTTTTTATATTGCATTTGGAATGATAATACAGATCATGCAACACAGAGATGTGATACTATTTTTATGTAGCTAAGGGAGGTGTTTTTAAAAGAAGTTTTATTGAAGGTAATGCAATGATCTTTCAAGTTTTCAAAACAACGGGGAATTAGAATGGTTTTCAACAATTTATATGGTAGAAATTCGAGGGTATTTTTTGGCATACGTATACCCCTTCCGCAACGTAGATATGGGTATATTGAATGCAGGTTGTTTTTCTGCCTATCTTAAGTCACAAACGTATCCGAACACTCCTTTCAACAGTTACAAGCGCCGTTTGGCCCCGGGGTCTAGGGCGCCCGGGAGTGTTTTTATCTCGGCGGGCTGATAGAAACAGGTTCGACTCAAATGACTCCGAGCTGATTGATTCAACATAGAAACGGAAAATAATGATTTAATGAATGTTTATTTCGAGCAAACCCTCGATAAAATGTTTGTACCGGTTGACCACGTTAAACATTTACGGGACGGTTGGCATGTAAAATAAAACAGAACAGAAGGTCAGTAAGGGAGATAACATATAAAGTCGTCACACGATTCTTAATATAAAAAAAAAAAAAATTGAATTTCGTGAAACCTCACCGATACGTTCACCATCATTATTCCATTTTATTGGAGTTACGCCATTATTAGGAAATTATACCAGATCTTGGTTAAGACACGTTTTCTCCTATAGTTTTTGTGTGGAAATGTGAAACTTCACAGACGTGATCATCGCATTAGACAAATTGAACACTTACGCTGTGAATCAAAAATCAAACATTAAAAAAAAAACGGCTTTCGGTGACTCAAACAGCAGACAAAACCAGTTGTTCCAGAAGGCTTGATGCGGTTCGTGATCTTTGTTTACACTGTACGTGTCTCGTCAATTGTGTTTGCTTTAATGACATGGTTACAATGAAGTGTCAGATGTTCAAAGCATATCAACAATATGAAAATGGAATAGATTGACATAGTATAACAAGAGGTCCATGGGCCTCAACGGTCACCTGATTTCTGATATATTTATACAGAGAGTTGATTTTTGTTTTTGAAACATGAACAGAAATATTATTCAAAGTGACAAAAAACAATACAACCACCTTATTCAATATCTAGCATACATATTTAAGACTGAAAGTATTTGAAACTAGCACCTGTAATTCTAATTCTAATGCAGAAATTTTAGCACACTGACTCCTTTGGGCCCCGCCCTACTGCCCTTGGGGGTAGGGCTGGCTCAAAATTTTCAAAGTATCAAACTGTCAACTCAGGGTTATTATTCCAATCAAGTTATCAACATGTAATATCCAAAGTATAATTTTCCGATATAAACCATAGTACATTTTGCCCTCCCCCAGAGGTAAACTGGGGGTCAGTCAGGGCTGATATGTGCATACCACCAAACTGCTATCCAGTACTGATAATGCTAACCCAAATTGAATTACTTCCAATGGAAATTAAACAAATACCGGTCAAAAATGTGATTGCCCTATATAAACAAAAGTAAAGTCTATCCCCTCCCCTGGGGGAAACGTGAGACACCAGGGACATGAAATTCACAATTTTGGTAAAGCACCTTTCAATCTATGAAGAGTATTTTATTCTACCATATCTGGGTCTTGAGGCCCCATCCATCAGCCTCTGGGGTCAGTCAGGGCAGATATGTACATACCATCAAACTGCTATCCAATACTGATAATGCTTATTCAAATTGAATTATTTCGTTTGAAAATTAAACAAATGTTGGTCCAAAATGTGATTTCCTTATATGTCCAAAAAATCCTTACAAAAACCTGCTTCGGAGTTTGGAGAACGGAATAAACAAATGTTCTACATTATATATTTTACTGGTGTCTAAAATTCTAGATATTTATATTAGATTTTTTTTTATTTCAACAGGACATGTGTTTATTCACTGTCTCTTTAAAGGAGTATATTGCAGTATATATATACCAAAGCGCTTAACCCATCCCCTGATAGGTCCCTTTATTGCTACGTCATGAACTAATCAATACATTTAAGGCGTTACTATACACTGCGGTCCGTTTCATCTGACGTATTTAGTAATTACTTTTGTAACTTGATTTGAAATTAATTTGCAGCCTTTCTTACCAATTAAAATACGGAATTTCTATAGATAAAATGGTAATCTAATTTTTATCCGTTCCTTAAAACAGGTTTATTTTCCTTCCTTAGTAATTAGGGACACACACATCTTCTAGACAAAATAGGATTCACTTCTTCCAATTCATACCCCTTCTGAGGGTTTCATATGCCAAGAAGATTGATTAAACAGAAATTGCTTTAGAAGTCTGCAATTTCTTTTATTTCGTACTGTATCGACATAGCTAAAATGATCTGAAGTTGGAGTATTCCTAGAGATTTCTCCTTAAACGATATAGAATTGGCTTCCGCCTTCTTCACTCCAAAATAGTCTCTATATTGTCTTATGAGCATAGGGTGCTGATAAAGTTACAAATTACCTGCTTTTGGCTATTATAATTGAAATCACAGATGTAATTAAGTATATGGAAATTATTGTGGTTACTCAATTGTATTAGGCTTTGGTAAAACAATTATAAAACACGTACTTTAAGACCTTGCAGTACTATTGATATATTGAACCTAGGTTTCTAATACATGATTTCATTCCACTATGAACTGCGTATGTCACGCCAACTTGAAATATAATACATAGGTGAAGAGATACATAACATTTTTCAGGGAACATCTGTTAACTAATTATAATATCTCCATTGATAAAGAAAATATTTTATAAACCACAGATAAATCTCTTGGGATTATGATTATATTTGATATCACTATTACATTCACAATTATCTCTTTTTAATTATCGGTATTTCTTTTTGAATAACAAAATGCTTCTTTTACTTTTTGCGACCCCTCTGTCGGTAATTCTTTTAATGTTACGGAACTAGTCATTCACTAGCGTTGGCTAAATTGAGGCAAACATATGCACACGAGATATATTTATAGAGATTATGAATATATATTTAGATTTAAGAATATTTGCAAACGTGAACGTCTCCACATCGCAATCAGTGATAATGGTAACATCGCCAATATTTCTACTTGTACAATAAATGCGATGTTGGTTTGTTACAATGTTCATGTAGGACGATTAAAGTCACCCATTTCGAATTGTTTATGGTTCAAACATTTAACCGCAATGCAGCTTTGAGTATTTTTTTTCTAATTTTGACAAAACCTCATGAGTAAATAAAACATCGTTGTCCTGTTATTCCGTCTTTTCGTATTGCAGAGTTATCTTCTCTTGGGAGCAGGTATTAAGTGTTACGTCACTTGTGTGTGAGAATAACGTCATCAATTTTTGAGAAAACGACGTAATTTTCACACACAGACCAATGACTTTACAATCAAAACCTGCTCCCAAGAGAAGATAACTCTGCAATACGCAAAGACGGAATACAGCTATTATATTTTCAATATATAACATGCGTTTTTTTCTATTTTCTTGTAATAATGACAGCAAGTTTGAAAAGTAAAATATCATTTCCTTAATGAACAACTGAAAATTCCCCTTTTTTGCGAATACAACTCATAGTATGAATCTGACAGGAGTTGGTTAAACATTTTCTGGCCGGTAACACAAGGCAGCCATTTCATTAGTCAATCTTTGAATTATGACGTCACGTAACAGTGTTTGCGCCGTTATCTTCAGTTTTGACGTCATTATTCAGTACAAT